TCCATAGAGATTTTTTTGCTGTGGGGCCTGTGAGCAGGGATATCATTCAGGTGCTTGAACTTCTCAGGGTGAAGGTTTCTGCTGAAGAGACCAAGAGCCCTGCGTTAGGGGTCCCTGCAGGCAGGCATCGCTCTACCGGGGCTCACGGGTCCTCTTGGACAGCTCAACTTTATGCAAACTCTACTGTCTTTTAGAAGAATTTCTTTGGAATTTAAAAGGTCTCTGAAGCCTTTATGAGAAGCTTGCAAAACAAATTTGTTTCCGTTTATCCACAAAACAGCTGAGAACAGAGGTTTTTAGTGCTGTCTCTTGAAGGAGAAATGAGATATTTCTCTAGTGCCAAGCTTTGTTTTTGCATTTGTTAGTAGTGACACATTTGTGTGAACAGCCTGAATAAAAAAAAAAAATAGCCAAGAAGTAGGAAAGCAGGCAGTGGATAGTCTTTTGGCCTCAGCTCACTAGTGGTATTGATTTTTCCATTCTTAGTGTTAATGAACTGAATAAAATGAGAACATTTACTCTTTCATTTTGAATGGCTCTTCCTCCCCGCTTTTTTCTTTTTCCCCATGGACAGCCGTTCTTTTCTCTGTAGACAGGATAATTGCAAATGCTCCGTTAGCTTTCTGTCAGCTTCCCTTCTCTAATCGTTTCCATCTTCCCTATCTTTTGCCTTCCTCCTGATTAATTCCAGTCTTCTCCTCTCTGTCATTTAAGATGATTTTCATGATTCTGGTCACCTACCTAGGTCATTGGTTTTCAACATTTTTCAGCTAGGATGGCTCAATTTAATAATCCTAGGTGTGACACTAGCTCTGAGTACCTGACATAGGAAGGAAGATGGACACAGGTACTTTGGCAGCCTCTCAGCTGTTTTTTTCTCCTGTTTGTGTTTTTTGTGTGTTTTTATTGTCCCTGCAGCGGCTGCGTTTCAGCAAGGGAAGATCCCGCCGTCGCCGTTCTCGGCGCCGCCTCCCGGGGGAGCCATGATTCCGCCCCCTCCCAGCATCCGTAAGTCCCTCTGCAGCCGTGCAGAGCCCTCCCTAGCACCTCGGAACGTCAGGGCCTTGTCAATAAAAGAAAGCTGAGAAATTTTGACTCCTGAACATCAAATAGGAGAGGGCACTCTGCAAGAGTGTTTCAGGGGCTGTGGTGAGCTTTACCTTGCTGTGTTTTAGCCATGCAGAGCACGTTAATAATGTGTGCTCCTTTGCTTGCTTGGTAGCTGCCATGGGAGATGGTGAGGGTGCCAGAGCCCTGGAACAGGCTGCCCAGAGAGGTTGTGGAGTCTCCTTCTCTGGAGATCTTCAAACCTGCTTCGACGCAGTCCTGTGCGACGTGCTCTAGGTGACCCTGCGTGTGCAGGGGGTTGGGCTAGATGATCTCTAGAGGTCCCTTCCAACCTTAAGCATTCTGTGATGGTGTCATAAAATCCTCCAGCACAGCTTATTGTTTACTACACTTTACTAAGCGTTCCTGTAAGGGTTAATAGTAGCGATTTCACGCTGTGAGTGGCTGGTGAGTGTGGCAGCAATGGGATATGTGACCGGTCTGTGTTTGTGTTCAGCTGGCCCGCCACGGCCTGGGATGATGCCAGCCCCTCACATGGGTGGACCTCCGATGATGCCAATGATGGGTCCTCCCCCGCCAGGGATGATGCCAGTAGGGCCGGGTAAGTCTGGAAATAAACAGTTCTCTGTAATGGCACTGCTGCTGCTCTGGTTTGCAGGGCGTTTGGGGGGCATTTTCCCTTGAGCTGCTGTGGGACTGTTGGTAGCTGTAAAAGGAGCTCCTTGGAGAACGTGAAGCAGCTGCAGCAGCTGGGGGCCAGCTGTAGTGATGGGCTGTAAGTGTTGCAGGCAGCCTCAGGTGGGGTTTTTAAGTGTGCAGATATCACACACGTGTTGATCCGTTACCTCTGCGAGGTGAGACACAAAACAGCTTGACAGTGTCTACAAAGTCGCTGTTGAGAACGCACTTATGAGCCTTGCTGTATGGTTGAAATTCTGCGTTCTGTAGTGGGCTTTTTTCTATCTTTTTTTTTTTCCTAGTGTCTTGGCACTCTCATCTTTAAGGAATTATATTTTTATTGTTTTCATTCTTTTTCACAAGGGATAAATTTCAGCAATAGATGAAGCTTATCTTAGAATGTCTCGAAGTAACGTATCCCAGAAAAGTGCCATGCATTAGAAAGGTTTTTTCAGAACAGCAAAGACAAACTAAAATGTCCTGATTATCTGTTCTGCTCTTGAGCTTGTTGGCGTTTGAAGAATTCTCAGGGGGAACTTCTGGAGTAGTTACTGGAACAAATCTGAATACATCTCTGCACAGTAAATGTATTGAAATATCTTTGCAATTACTGTGTTTTTAGTAGAAAGTGTTCCTTAAGTGTTTTCTAAAGGCACAAAATATGGGCATAATCAGAGATAGTAGGCACTTTAATGGTTGTCTGAGATAAATGGAGAATTTGGATGGAAGTCATTATTTTGGTGCTTTCTGATAAAGCTCCTGCTTTTCTGGTAATGCTGTTGCTCTGCTGTAAGCAGTACACTAGACTATTTTTGAACACACTTAACTTGAGGATCCTGCAGCACTTTCCAAACAAACTTTCCAATTCAATTGAGCTAGTGTTTCTTTTGAGTGGTTGACGTAGATTATCAGTGAATCCTGTCAAAGCTGGGCAGATAACCTGGGAATTTGGTTCTTTCTCTCTTAACTGCTAATACCCATTAGAGAAATGTAGTCCCTCAGCCAGCTTCCAGACCGGGAGATTCCTTCATTCACTTGCAACACGAGGGCTCCCGTGGGGTGGGGGGATCTGCAGCCTGTGCCCATGCGTCTCTGCAGCTGCTGTTCCCAAGAGCTTTTTCCGAGTGTCTCGAGTGTCCCGTTTTTCCTGCCGCAGCTCCAGGGATGAGGCCGCCCATGGGAGGACACATGCCAATGATGCCGGGGCCTCCGATGATGAGACCGCCATCCAGGCCCATGATGGTGCCAACCAGGCCAGGAATGACCCGTCCGGACAGATAAAGGTGGAAAGGGAGCTACGCTTCTCTCTTTGCATTATGATCTACCGTACGATAAAAAGGCATAGACCTAGATCCCTAGGATTTGTATTAAAACAGTGTGCAGAGGAGATCTGCTGCTGCCTCGCATTGCAGAAGATCTGACCTATGTGCACGCTGGACCTACAAATGCGTTTGTAACTGTTCTTCCCCCCAGCTGAATTCTATAACACCAATAAATGTTGGTGCTGGTTTGTGTATGGAGCGTCTGAGCCCTGTTCTGTGCGCGGTGTTTGGTCTGACACAGCGACCTGTTGGTCTGTGCTGTTTCCTCGCGTCCCCTGTGCTGCACTAAACTGTATTGTCCTTCTCCTTGCTTCTTCAGCAGTCTCTCTTGCACGCTGGAGAGCTGTCAGTGTCTGCGTTATGGAGTCGTCTTCAAAACATGAAATATGTTTGTTTTTAATAATAAAAAAGACCTCAGGAAAACACAGGGCTATCTCTAAGGAGGGAGACCCTAACCCGCAGGCAGGATGTTGCTGCCCCCGTGTAAAGCCCCGTGCATGTGCCCGGCTCCCAGAGGGGTGCAGCCACAGAGGCAGGGGCAAAAAACCCCCGAAACCTCCGTTTTCCCCTCCCGCTCTCCCGGGGTGCAGAGCAGCGCCTAATTGCGCCACGAGCATGAACTGAGAAGCTGCGGTGAGAGATTCTGGGGTGAAAAACGGGATGTTTGGGGCCGAGCGAGTTCCTTCTACCGCGGGGTTTTGGCGCCCGTTCGCGCTCCCCGCGGGCGGCTGCGGCGCCGCCGGGGGCCGCCAGGG